CTACGCTAACAATAAAGGGGTGACTGGGAAGGGGTGGGAGGGACATGGTGGGGGCGGAGACTCCAGTCCCATTCTCCAGGACTTGCTAACAAGGGCCTGCTTTTATTTATTTTTATATTTATCCCTATGATGTTTTTTTTAAATCTCATAATTTCCTTTTCATAAATTTTATACTTTTCATAAAATTTTTCTACATTTCATCCACGTTTTTTGCCACAACTTTTCCACATTTTTTATCCCATAACTTTTATTAGTTTGCGTTATTTTAATGAAAACACTTGCATAGCGATATTACAATTTCGTAAAAATAAAAACACATTATCTCATGCCAAGTGTGCCCAGCATTTGCAGAGTCTCCATACCTTTAATACTATAGTTGTCAAGACACACAAAATTTTAAGGCAAAAACAGCACTTTGCAGCAATTCAATAATTTATTACATTACAGGAGCATCACAGCAGCAGTCAATAATGCCGTTTTAGACAAAAGGCTCAGGATTTCCATCTTACATTCTGTTCTCAAGAGTTCATACATTGGTAAAAGTCATTCTTAGGAAACTTGGCAACTAAAGCGTTGGACGGGAATTAGCCTTTCTTTCTCTACTTTTTCTTCCCTTGGTTTCTTTCAAACTATGACATTCATATTTTAAAATGTCTCAGTAATTTCAAAACATTAAGATAGCAGTTACATGTTTTAATAGTTATCTTGAAAATGACTCTTAAGATAAAGTTTTGGAGAAGCTATTTTATGGATAGGATAGGACTGATTTATATTTTCAAATTTTCTTAAAATCAGCTTTGGTTTCAGAACTGATTTTTATTCATTTCTGGAAAATCTATCAGTTTTAATGAAATCCTTTAAAAATGATTATCATATATTTTACTCTTTAAATAGGTATTTTGATTCTTCCTACAGAAATTGAAATTTATTCAGTTGAACCCACATTTGAAAATTCTATGTATTTTTGTAATGACCTCTGAACAGAGAGACGCTGCCATTGAGCAGGCCTCTGGTACAGCAAACATGGTGCATTCAGGAGCTGTGAATATAGCTCTAGGTGAGCCCCTGAATCAGTTGATGGTAGATTATGCTAAATAGTGAGATGTTATTGGAGGTGTGGATGAGGAAGTTTGTTGTTGTAATCCTTCTTTGCACCTTATTTTAAAGAATAAATGAAACATTTTTCTGGTTGCCTTTTAAAAATTTTAAATGGAGGGGAAGAATAGGGGCAGGGCATTATTAGGTTACTTCACATGCATCAGTGTTATAAATTCAACATATAGACTGACAACCTAAATTAATGGTGGAACACAGTTCTTTTCCTTTTTTTTTTTTTTTTT